GTGGATTTATGGTGTGCTAAGTCAATTTGTAGCTAATCAAGGCATTGACTTTGCTTTGGAGATCTAAAAAATTTAATAAGCTTACAAATTTTATTGGTGTAAGGATTTATAAATTTTAAAGCCTGAACAACTGTAAGTTGAAGTGTATGTGCAGTGCAAGGTAGCTGATTTATATTATCCAAAAGTTTTATAGCTTTCTTAATATTTGCTTATTGTCTGTTGTTGTACAAATAACTTTTCCAATTAATCTAAATTCCTCAATTTTTGTATTTAAGTATTTCTTTATCTGTTCCTTTGAGTGTGGATATTCAAATTTTTTAATAGCAAGTAATGCTTTACATATCTCAAATTTAGGTGCTAACCAGTGAAGAATATACTTATCATTACTTCGAGCTGTCTATAAATCAGTAGTTATAGAAGCTATTTCACAAGTAGTAGAAAGTAGATTTTTAAGTTCTTTTATACCTTTTTGATAAGAAATATCAATATCTTTTTTAATCTGCTTGTTACTTAGTAGTATAAATATAAGATCAATTCAGTTTATTATCTTCTGGTACCCCTTTCTATATACAATATTAAATAGAAGAGAGTTTGTAACTAGCCATTTAGCCATAACCTGCTTTAGTTCTAATTGTTTAGATTCTTCATGTAGAATTACTTTTTTAAACATATTAACTATATTTAATTGATATTTTTCATCCAAATCTGATTCTATTTCGTTTGGTGCGAAGACTTTATAATCTAACTGTAAGTGTAGTTTCATGTTTTCAGTTGATCCATCATGTTTATATTTTCTTCCACATATTTTTTCAATATCTTTTGCAGCTACAATTATTTTGCAAATATTATACTCCCCCTCTTCTTCAAAGCACAGCTAAACATAACTTTTTTTTCTAGGTTTATCTAGTTGATTAAACCTGACTCTAATTTTTTGGGTGCTTGGTTCATTCATAATAGATTCTTCTACATGTTTTTCAACAGTAGTAGATGAATCAATATTTATTTGAGCATCATTATATTTAGCATCAAAGGACAGTTCGATATCTAAAGTATATTCCATATTTGAAGAATTATCAAAATTAGAGGTGTATTTAGGATTCATTGCTACAACTAATTTGAAAAGTAAGTATAACAAATACTATGTATTTATATTAATCGAATTGAAATTCAAGATATTTGTATTTTATTTTTAGGATTGTAATTGAATTTTTATGATTTATTTACGTCAAAGTGTGGTTATTTATATACTGTTCAGTCATTCATTTTTAAAAAAATTTTTAATTATAGGATCTATTCTTTATCAATGACACAAATACAGTAATAGATTTTAAATTAATTGATTAATCTAAAAAGGTAGTAGTGATTGTTTGATACATTACAAAGAATTTAATTAGGTATATTTGCAATTATTACTTTGTCTATATACATTTATTATTTATTGCTTAGCCATTGTCAAATTTGGTAGATGCAAGAAATTTTTAAAAAGGTTAACAGTGTAATGATTTTAATATTAAATTATTATACCAAGTTGAAAACCAATTTATTTAAGCTTCTAACCTAATTTAGTTAATGCATATTAAAAGCCAACTAGATCAATATATGAAAAGTATATAGCTATAATATACAGTTATTATCAGGATGCAAGTCAAAATAATAACATAAGATATACAGATCTTTGTGAAAGATCTAAGCCCTTTTTTAAATAAGTAAACCATTTAAAACTAGCTAAGTAACTTTATTTATATTCTTTAAAGTATTTTTAAGAACTTAATGTTTCACTAACAAATAAAAGCAATTTCAAGTTATAATGAATATAGATATTTGCTATTAAAATTTATCTAACCCCCAAGAACTTCACTTAGAAGTGAGTATTTTTACTATACACTACTATTACTAGCTATATAAGTTCTAAATATTGAAAATGATTAATAAAAAAAAAAGATTGAGATGTTATATATAAGCTTTAAACTTAAAGAATTTATATTGTTTAAAATAGTATAATAACAATAGGCTTGTATTAATGCATATATTTTATATATTTTGAATACTATAGAGTTAAAGTTGAATTACTATATTAATAAATATAACTTTGGGTTAAAATAGGAGTTTGCCAGGGCAACCACTAAAAGTCTGGGCACATAATAGAATGCCACAGCTATATTTTAATAATTAGTTATTGTTTTGCTATATAAGAAATTTTTACAACAATAAAATAAAGCTACTAGATGATTCAATAATTTTCTAAGAGATTATGTAGTGGCTATGATTAAAAATGCTGGTGAAATAAAATTGAGAGGTAAAATAATTTCACTATTATCTTTAAAATTGATGAAATTAATTTTACCAGCATCTTTAGTTGTGACATTTTATTATGTAATAATACTTTTGGTAGTCGCCCTGGCAAAACTCTTAAATAGTAGATCAATAATATATACAAGTGTTAATATTTATGGGCTAAAAGTTATAGTAATCTTTATTAGTGCTATAGAAAGACTGAATTTGAAACTGGAGACTAAAATTGGAGAACTGAGTAACTAGATTCTTAAGTAAAGAGACACACAAGCTGAACTGCTAGCTTGCTACTGAAGAAAAAAAACTTGTGTTTCAGAAGTATGTACTAAGGGGAGAAAGACTATAAAGCACCTAATACTTGAGCAGACCAACTCTTCTGTGTTGCCAGCTAGAAGTAAAGGAGGGACTAGTAAGGAATCCAGGAAAGAAAGAAGTTAAACCATGAATACTAGAGTTGTTGTGAACATTGCAAGAGCAAAGAATATATAATAGAAACTAATTAGTAAGGTTGTGGCTTAAGACACAGATTGGGTTACAGCAGTATCCAAAAAAATAGCTTGAAATACAAACCTAATAGTACTAATTAGTAAAAGTTACCAAACATGCAAATAAATACATGTGTAGAATATGGACCATTCTGTTAGGTTACTACAAGAATAAATGCCTCTCTGGAAAACTACGTTAACTGGTAGCTAAAGCCTTAGGTCTTTAATAGCAAATTATCCTAAAAGAATATATTATGAAAAATATAATGCAAAGGTTAAAGCTAGAGAGTTTAAATAGATAGCTCCCTAGTTAGGCTATAGATATAGTAGCTAGTATAGAACTTTAGGATAAACTACTTAAATTAAACAATCAAAAGTTGTATGTATAGCTAGTTATACTCTCGTAATACTACTGTAACATGTCACACATGGTCTTTGAATTAGTGAACCTTGCTTGTACTAATAAAGTACCAAGGATCTAAGTAGTTATCCTAAATATTAAAAAAAAAAAAATTAAACCTGAATTATATTGGTGTTGTATATTTAAAATAACTTATTTACAATTTAATACAACCAATTTATTTTTTTTTATCTTTTTTTATCTTTATTTAAAATAGTTTAGCACATACTTATAATTTTGGATAATTTTGTAACCCAATTTTGTTCTTACTAGATATAACTGAAATTAATCAAATATAGCATAATTAGAGTACTTGCTTTTACAATATACTTGTAATATATTGTTAAATTTATTATACTTTATAATTTGTATTGTATATTATATCTTTGACATGTTTGTAAAGAGATAGTTTCTTGCCAAATAAAGTAACCAGAGTGTGTATTTGTCAAACAAATATTGTAACTGTTTGAGCAAAGGTATTTCTTAATATATAAAAAGTATTATAATATTTTTATTAATTTTAACTTGGTCTATTTATCCTTCTAAAGCTTGTTGAGAAGTAATATTTGTATTTTTTAATAAAATTTTATGATTTTTTGTCAAAGCCTTGAAAAAAATATTATATTATATAATTATATTCTAAAAATATCTTACAATTTATATAAAATTTATATAAATAATAATAAGTACTATATTAGAATACAGTATTAAGATTTAAATTACTAAATAAGTAATTAATATGTGTATTTTATAACCTGTTATCACATACTGTTATAAACCAATTGAGCTAAACTCTACTGCAGCATAGCTAAGAGAAAAGAAAATAATAATAATTAGTATTATTGAATAAGTTTAAGTAAAAAAGTAATAAATATAATATCTAAACTAGAGTTGTTAGTTTGTTTATCCAGTTCTTCTTTAACAAGTTAGACTGAAATGCAGCTTAGGACTAATTAGAACTATATGCATTAAATAGACAGATGCAAGACTACTGTAATTAAATATACCAACATATTAATAATTATTATTATTATCTACTATCATTATAAATTTCAAACCAAAACAACTCTTTCTGCTAATCCTCATGACCAAACTGGAGCAGAAGAAAAACTCAAAATTAAGCACAATCATACTAAGATAATATCAGTTGTAGCCTTAAAGAAAAAGAACAAGCAGAGAAAAACAACTATAGCTTTATAGAATGGCTTGGCTCTTATCAAACTTTAGCTAGTATCACAAGGAAAAAACAAAATTTTTAGAAAATTTTTTGAAAAATTTGGGGATTCATCTTTCACTCTGTACTGCAGATTACCAAGCAACAAAACAAATAGACGCGTACAGAAGTAAACAAATAAACAAATAAACAATAAGTTATATAAATAAACAAACAGATAAACAAATACTTAGAATAAACAAAACACAATTATACACATGTCAAATAAACAAACAAACAATAACAAACAATTCGATACCAAATGCCGGCACTGGAAAAATACAAAAACTTCTTTAACAAGAGCAAAGAGAAAAGATCAGATCTTTATAATGAACAAAGTACAACTACTCTAAAAAAAGATAGCAGAGTGGCAAACTATCTAGGTACAGATGATAAACACTTAATAGCTATTATCTGCAATGTTTTGCATATTTATAATTGGGCCCAACATAAGGAAACAAGAGAGCTAGAGTTAACAGAGAAGGAAAAAATCCTAATAGATAAGAACATTGATCTCAGGAAGCTACAAAGTAGTAGTACTAACATGAAAACAGAAACATCTGCTATGAAAATAAGTATAGAATAGCCATCAGAAAAAGTTGAATCAACTATGATAGAATTTACTTTAATACATGCAAATGATCAAACTGATGACTGCAAGAACATAACTAGCACTGAATTAACCTCGATGGAAGTTACTCATATACAGACAAATAAGCTAGAAGATGTAAATGATTCTGAAATGGAAATTAAATATTTAAATATGCTATGCAAAAGAAATTTTATAGAAAAAGATAGTGATAGCAGTTTGGTAGAAAACGAACAGGATGCAGTCAAGTTAGTTTTACTAAATAATGAATGTAGTGTGATAGATTACGGTCTTGCTAGTCAAATCAAAAAAATAGTGAGTAAAGATCAGAAGAATGGAAAGAATAAAAACAGTAAGAAACATAAGTATCATAAAGATATCTATAACTCGATATGGGCCCCAAAAGGCAATTTTAGATTACAAGAACCTACCTCGCATTACTTTTTCACAATATGGGATCTTCCAAAAGAAATGAGAGCAGGAGAAATTAAGAACTTCTTTAGCTATTTTGGTACAGCATCCATTCTCGCATGACAACAATATTCTAAAACCAAGGCAGCTTATATCAAAATTGCAACCAATTTAGAGAAAAGAGAAAACTCATTGAGAAATAACTGGTTAGTACAAATAAACCAGGTCAAAACATATAAAACAACTCCTGGAAGATTTGATAGCACTACGCTTGAAGCTAGAAACAAATACAAATATACAATCTATAATGTACCCAGAACTGCACTTGATAGTCTACTCTTGCGACAACTTAAAAAATACAACATACAAGCAGTGCATACATTGTGCAACCATAATGGTAACCAAAGTGGAAGGGCATATATTTATTTTAAATCAGAAGAAGATTGTATTCAAGCACAAAAAACAAGCTTATACTATTATAACACTAAGCTTGCATGGCAATCAGCCTCAAATAGCTTTGAAGGCAAAGATTATACAAATGCTCAACTTTCTTATAAAAAAGATAACTTGCATAGTTACAAGGGAAAAAGACAACTAAATGAAACTGAAACAGGTGGAGACCAAAATTCAGACAAAAAGCCAAGATATACAAATACATATAGAAAACTAAACAAGCATAATTGTAAAAACATGGAGAACAAACCCAGTTCAAGTACTAGCTTTAGATCTATAGTACAACCAAAAAGAAGACTTTTTGTTATAAATATGAATAGGAAAGCAGAAAGTAGCAATACTTATAATACAGGCAAATCAAAATTAGCCGAACACAAAATTCCAGAATTGCAGAAATTTGATACCAACAACACTGTACCTGTTTCACAGCCACCAATATATATTAATACTAAGTCTGGAAAAAAAGAAGGCAAGGAGAGGACTAAGCTACAAGCAGACAACTTTACACAGCATGAGGCTTTGGCAGAGATCCTTAAAAAGCTTTCAAAAATTGAAAAATATTATGAATCAATTCTCTTTCCAGGTATCATTCTCTAGAGTGTTTGCTATATTTCTTTGTCTAAACTGTGCTTGGAAGTGATCTTGTGTTTTTTTCAAGACTTGTCTTTCCTCGGAAATTAAGGTATGAAACAAGCTCTCTTTTATGATCAACTTTTCTAGCTTAATTTTCTTTAATGTGTATCATTTCACATCTCATGTTAATTTTCTCGTTTATCCCTTTTTGTGTTGCAGCCTCTAATTCTCTTTGGTTCTTTTCTTTAAGGATTTTCCACCAATGCTTAAGAGCTTCTATTGAGTTCTCAGACCATTTATCTTTAACTTCCTAGATATCTACTTGGTACTTTTTATTGATTTTCCTTATCTCTTGATTAAATGATTCTTTTTCTTCTGAGTCTAGCATTGTGTTGATTTTTCTTTTAACTTTCTATAACCATCTACTGAGTGTTACTACTACTTTGTGCAGTCTAGATCATCTTACTTCTTGCCTTTTGATATGTTCTACGTTAAGGAGTTTTTTCTTTGAGATAGCTTTATTTGCTGCTTCTATAATACTTCTTTCTAGAACACTCCAGCACTCATTCAGGTTATCCAATACTGGTATTTTATTTCTTGTTACTAAACTTAATTTCTGAAAAGCTGTCTCTTTGTTTTTAAGCATTTTATCTAATTCTGCTCTATAATTCTCCCAGTCATCTTCACTTGCTTCATCATATAGAAAAATTGTTCTTTTTTGACTCTTTCTTTTGGCACTTGCTGA